GGAGTGGACTGCCTTAGGAAAGGATCAGGGGGTTCTTCTTCCTCTGAGGCTTTCAAGCAGAGATCCTGTAATGACATCATAATAATTACTAGCATTTGTTGCAAAGCTCTTTACAAGTATTTTCTCCTTTGATCTTCACAACAACCTTGGCAGTTAGTTGCTATAATTACTCCCATTTTATAGATGAGGAAACAGGCAGAGAGAGGTTAAGTGACTTGCCCAGCTGGTAGGTGTCTGAGGCAGGATTTGAACTCAGGTCCTCCTGACTCCAAGGCTGGAGCTCTATCCACTGCACCACCTAGCTGCCCCCAGCATTTTCCATCATGAGTCCTTTGTACTAATCTTAGATCCTTGTGTTGCTGATAAAAGCTAAGTCATTCCGACTTGGCTGCCCCTGGGGATTCCTTTTGTGTGTGAGTATGACTTGGCCACTGAGATGTCTTCCAACTCTCAAATTCTGTGATATGACTATAATACAATATTACTATACCACAAGAAATGACCATATTGGTCATTTGATGGAGAACTAAGGAGTGCCTGAAAAGCTATGGTATTTTATACGTTGTTCATTTATTGAAATGCAAATGATGAGGCTTAGGGGTGCTGAGACCCCAAAATCACAACACATGGGTCCTGCCTGAAAGAATTTGACCCAAGCCTTCATTCAGCCAAAGACAAGGTTTATTAGAACATCCGTCATATTGGGCAGACTCTTAAGGAGTCTGAATGTTAGTGAACTATTGGCTAGATTATAAGAATATGAGCATCTTAATGGAGACAAGATGGACCTTATATATAGAAAGACTAAGGGAGGGATCTAGGAGTGGCCAAGTAGTCTATGAGGCAATTGAATTCCAGAGACCTGGACTTCATGGCCAAGGGAGAATGGAGCCTAGCTAGGATTAAGGGTGGGAAATGGCCTGGGGCCATAGGGAGGTAAAACAATGGAGGGCTAGGTTAGGTTAGGGGTAACAGGGAATTGGGAGATTGGGTTTAGCTACAATAAAAGGCTAGTGGATGGGATTATAGCCTCAGGGGGCCACCAGAGATTTGGCCACGTGGGAAAGTCCAGGGTTTTTCCTTTTTGGGGTCTAAATCCCATCCTCATCACTAATAGTTGCAAAGTAAGTCTAATTGAGTGTATTGATCATAGAGGATCATAAACCTAGGACTGACAGGGGTCTCAGAGACCATTTGGTCTAACCCTCTTGTTTTACAGATGAGGAAACTGAGGCCCAAGATAAATGACTTTACCTAGCTTACACAGGTAAGAATTGTCAATGTTGGGATTTGAACCCAAGTCCTGCTCTTTCCACTATGTTTGATTAAATTAAGCTTGTTACAAATATTTTTTAAAGAAAAAGTTAGCTATTTGATCCAAGGATCAAATGAGATCAAGTGAGATAGCATTTGTTAAATGCTTAGCACAGTGTCTAGCACACAGAAGGTGCTTAATAAATGCTGTTTCCTTCTTTTTTTCCTTCTGTCCCCTAGGCCTTCATTTCTACACTCCTCTCACTATCTAATCTCCCCTCCACCCCTTATAGTCAGGCTTCCACTCCCACTACCTGTGACTTCCTAATCCTCAAACCCTATGACCTTTTCTTTGTCCTCATCCTTCTTAAGCCCCCCCCCCCCCAAAAAACTTTGACATCCCCTCCTATTCTCCATGACTACCCTTATTTCTCCTTTTCTGGTTTCTTGATCTCTAAGTTCTGAATCCTGCCATCCATCCCATGATCCTCTTAATGTGAGTGGTCCCCAAGTGTCCATCATGAGCCCTTAGCCCCTCTTCTCTGCCTGGTCAATTTCATTTCCTTCCACAGCTCCAAGAGAGCTCCCACAGCCACATCTTTATTGCTTCTAAGCATGAGCTCTCATAACACTATCCTGAGCCCCATACTTCAGAGCTACTTTAAGGACATCTCCCTATAGCTGTTCCATGCAAATCTCAAACTCAACACAGCACGGCTGAAGAATTTTCAGTGGCTCCTTATTTTCTTGAAGAAAAATATAACCCAGGGGCAGCTAGGTAGAGCATTGGATAGAACACAGGCCCTGGAATCAAGAGTATCTGAGTTCAAACCTGGCCTTCAGACACTTACTAGCTGTGTGACCTTGGACAAGTCACTTAACCTTGATTGCCTCAAAAAAAAATCAACAAAAAATTACAACCTCTTCCACTTGGAATTTAAATTCACAGTCACTATTCTTCTAGCCCAATTTCATGTTTCTCTCTCTTCTCTCTCTCTCTACATTCCAGTCAAACCAGTCTATTTGTTATTCCCTGTACATAATGTACAGCTGTCCCCTCATGCCTGGAGTGTTCCCTCACCTGACCTTTGCCTCTTGCAAAACTTAACTTCCTTCAAGACTCCATCTCCTATGTGAGATAGTGTTTCCTTTTTCCCTAATTATTAATGCTTTCCCTCCTATACCCCCCAAATTACTTTGTAACCCAGGGTTCAAGCCTGGTGCATTTGTACAAGACTTTCCTCACTGGTGGAGAGGATTGCTAGAAGTTGTGTAATCTCTCCTTGGAAGCAGGAAGCCAGGTTTCTCCTTTCTCAGCTCCAACCTTTACCCCTTGGAGTAATCCTCTCCACCAATGAGAGTCTTATGCATGTGCAACAGGCCTGGACTCCTGGTTACATTTTATTGAGTTCCATATTTCTGTCAAAGGTATCACTGTTAGGGGCAGATAGGTGGTACAGTGAATAGAGCCCTGGCTTTGGAGTCAGGAGGACCTGAGTTCAAATCCAGCCTCAGACACTTAACACTTACTAGCTATGTGATCCCGGGCAAATTACTTAACCCCAATTGCCTCACCAAATAAGAAAAAAAAAAAAGGTACCACTCTTCTCTCTTCGTCCAGTCTCCAGGCTTCATGACTGTGACAGTATCCTGGAATCCTCATTCTCCCTCACTTCCACATCCAATCAGTTGTCTGATCTTGTCATTTCTACCTCTACAACTGGGCAGCTAGGTGGCGCTACAGTGTGTAGAGTGCTGGTCCTGAAAGTCAGGAAGGATTAGACTCATCTTCCTGAGTTCAATTCTGGTCTCAGATACTTATTAGTTGTGTGACCCTGGGCAAGTCACTTAACCCTGTTTGCCTCAGTTTCCTCTGTAAATTCCATTTCTGTAAAATGAGCTGCAGAAGGAAATGACAAACGGCTCCAGGATTTTTGCCAAGAAAACCCCAAATAGGTAAAAAGAATCAGACACGACTGAAAGGACTGAACAACAACAAACCTTTCTAACATCTCTCACATCTGCCGAATTGATATTCCTGAAATGCAGATCTTGCCAGTCACTGCCTGGCTCAAGAAGCTTCCATGGCTCCCCATTGCCTTTAGGATAAAATGTGATCACCTCTGTTTGTCATTTAAAGCCCTTCACATACTTCTCTAGGCTGATTACATGGTATGACCTTTGGTAAACTACACTGCAGCCAAACCAGTTTACTTTTTGTTTCCTAAAGAGAACATTCCATCCCCTATCCTTATGCCCTTCTTTACACAGAAACCCCGACCTAAACCTAGTAATGTGAGTCATCTGGATTGTAGGGTTGCTTGACTCTCTAGCATTCTTGAGCTATTTCTACTTGAAGAGGAAGTGAGACAGCGTAGTAGTATTAATCTGGAGGACTGAGTACAGCTTTGGTGAAGGAACAGGCCCATCAGAGAGGGAAGGGGATGTGATCTGACCACTTATGGACCTCACATTTGTGCCAGTCAGGTTAAATGAAACCTGTCATATAATCAACATTTCATTAGTCTGAAATGGGAGCAGAGGACCCTTAGAACAAAGTGCATCAAATTGGGATGTTCCCAGAGGGATAACCTTGGTGCTGAGGTGAGCCATATTACTGGTAAGCTCCCAATATTGAAGCTATTCAAGATGGAGCCTGGATGATGGGCCCTCAGCTTCTGCTCTGCTCCCCATGTCTGCTCTTTCCGACTTCATTGTTTCTGACTGTAGCATCACCACTCACCTACTCTCCCATGTTTATAACCTTTCTTCAACTCTTCCTAAGCTCTCATATCTGCTGTTTCCCTCCTCGCCATCGTCTCTCTCTCTGATCTAGCTCCTCTTTTATCCCCACCGTCTCCACTGGAATACTGCAGTATCTTAACAGGTCTGCCCACCTCCACTTCCATCTATCTTTCATATCATTTCCAGAATAATCTTTCCTATGCATACATAGACCAACTCTGCTCAGGAATCTTGGGTGGCTCCCTACTGCCTCCAGAATCAAGTTTAAACTCCTAAATCTAATTTGAGTGTCAGCCAGGCTGTAAAGGCCTTTACAGGCTTATCTTATGCTATTGTCTTCTCCATTCTCAAATCTCCACTTCACTTCCCCATCCCTAACCCACCCTTTATGTTTTCTTACCTCCATACCTTTGTCTACTCTATTCCTTGTTATGTTCTTATTCTCCCTCCTTACTTGTTCAGTTCCTGCCTACCCCATCCAATTCCGATGCCGTGTCTTTTTATTTTTATTTTTTTGAGGCAATTGGGGGAGGGGGTGTTAAGTGCCCGGCCCACGGAAGGCCAGCAGCAGGACACTGTGGGCAGGGAGGCCAGAAGAACTGGAAGAGCCTTCCTTGAACTCAGAACCTCCTGACTCCAGGGCTGGTGCTCTATCCACTGCACCACCTAGCTGCCCTTGTAATCTCCATTAAGATGCCTTCTCTGATCTTCTAGTCTATAAGGATTTCTCCTTGGATTTCACTCTAATGCATTTCTTTAAGGTCGTATAGAATACATACCTGTGTCTATCTTTTTACTCTATGATGGAAACTTCCTCATCTACATTTTGTCTCTTCCCCTGCCTAGCACGGTATTCTGCATACTCTAGGCGCTTTATGTTTGAGGGAGAGATGACAGAAATCCTCCAGAAATCTACTGCCTGCTTGAAATGACCCAGAGATCCAGTACAGCATCCTGCTTTGAAGACCTTAGTCCCTTCTGCCCCTAGACTGAGACCGTGATGAGAAAGAGATGATTTATTCAGAGAAACTAGATAGCAAAGCCTCACTGGAGCTGCCCATCAGGAACTCTGATGCAGCTGACTCTGGAGAGGTGCTTCCTAGCTTAGCGGCTATCTGACAGAGCCTGTGAGCTTAGGATGGGGGAACGTCAAGGAAAAAACAGGACCAATATCTCTAAAGAGGGGCCAAGAAATAGAAGGGGAAGACTGGGTAGGGGGTAATGATCAGGTCTGGAAGCAATCAAGGCAGCAGGAGTCAACCTTATGTAGAGAAAGTTCCTGAGGAGAGCTGGGTTTGATGGTTTCTTTTGGTAGATGGGAGAAAGGGATGGAGAGGCCCCATACTTTTCCCTGCTCCAAAGGACAGTGGGTTCTGCCAATCCTGGAAAAGGGGCCTTCTTTCTTTTTCATAAATTTTCTTTGGCCTTTCAAGATGTTCTTTCCTCCCTGGGTCTGCTCGGTGAGCCCTGGACCCTCCTCCTCTCCCATCTGCTCCTTGGGCCCAAGCAGTGACCTCATTTGTTGGAGTACCAGCTGGCGGGCAGGGAGGGGGCATAACTGAGTCTGAGCAAACACTACTCCAAAAACAGTGGAGAGTACCAGGTGACCAGGGAAGAGAGGCCAAGCCCTCTCTAGGTGGACATTGGTGTATGCCAGCCTAATACCAGACCTTGACAGAGAGGACCTAGGCTCAAGTCCAGAGAAGGGGAGCCTGAGGAGGGAGGAAAGAGTCTGAAAGGAGGCCAGGTGAGCGGGCACGGTCTTGAGAGAGGGATGGATAGGACAGGCCCTGGTTGGCTCTGCCACCCTGCAGCTCCACAGATGATCCATAGACCTGGCCAGGAGCAACAGCAAACACAGGGAGTGCCACCTCTAGATGGATCCTAGTCCAAAAAATCAGGGCCTTAGTTTCCTTATCTGTAAGAAAAAAGCTCCAAGGTGTCTTCTAGCTCTCAATTATATGACCTCATCAGAAAGGAGCCCATCCCATCTATTCCCCCCAACCTCTCCTCCCCAAAGGGGTAGCAGGGTCTGGTGGAGAGAGCCCTGGCTAGAATTGTTTTTGTTGGTGCAGAGTGGGTAGGTGAACACAACTAGGTATGCTGGTGATTAGACAGGGAGTTGAGGATGGGGTTGGGGTAGGGTGAAAGAGGCTGGAGTCTTTAGAGAGAAGTCTCTCCCCAGGGCATGAGGACTCTGGAGCTCTCTAGAGCCTGGGCAGCTTGAGCCAGGGACTCCAGCTCCTCCTCCTGACAGGCCGCCATCTGCGCTATCTGCTGGTCCAAGGTCTGCTGCTGCTGCTCCTGCTTCCGTTGGGCCCCCCGGAAGGCCAGCACCAGGGCACTGTGGGCAGGGAGGCCAAAAGCACTGGAGAAGCAAGCCTTCCTCGAGCCTCTCCAGTGCCACATGGGGCTTTCCATGCCCAGATGGAAGCTTAGGTATATCCTTCGGTGTTCTCTGAACCCTCCAGCTGTGACTTTTTGGGTTGTAAGGTTCCTCCCAGGTGTGACATTCTGGGTTCTAAGGGCCCACCCAGTTCTGATGTTCTATATTCTATTAAGTCGATCAGAAGTCCCAGAGGGCAGGGCCATGGTCTGCTGACCTTGCATGTACAGCACTTAATTCATCCAGCGGGTGAGGGCTTGGGAAAGGGGACAAGGTGGGAAGGTGAGAGGTTTGGATGGAATCCAGTGGTCGGCGAGGCTAACCTGTGGGCCTTGCAGAAGTCACTGGTGAGCTCCACACACTGGGCTCGCCGGGTCCGCTCATCCTGGGCCATCTGCTCCAGTGAAGCCTGTACCTCCCTCAGTTGTCCTTCTAACTCCTGGGTCCTGGGACCCCAGAGGTGGGGTGGAGGGATAAGGACATATGGGGGGGCAGGCAGATGGCTACGCGGGGCAGGCTATCCTCAGGGCATTCTCCAACGCCCACCCTCACCCCTTGGAGCGAGGTACCCACCGAGTCAGGGAACTGGTGAGCTCCTGCAGCATGTCCTCGGAGTCCCGGGCTCCCCCTAGCCAGGCTGTCTGGTCCCCATCTCCAGGAGCCTAGAATAAAGACACCAAGAGGTCAGCTTTCAAGGCACTTTCCTTGTGACAACTGCAGGAAGTACGCTGAACAACTGTTATCATCCTCATTTTAGAGATGAAGAAAAACTAATGTCTTGACTGAGAGGGGGTGACTTTCCCAAAATCACATAGAGAGCCAGTGACAGCCAGGCAGTCAACAAACATTTTAAGTGCCAACTATGTGCTGGATACTATGTTAAGTCTTGGGAATACAAAGAAAGGTTAAAAAAAAAAAAAACCAGTCCCTGACCACAAGGAACTCAAAAGTCTAGAGTCTAGAGATAGAGTGTCTCATGCAAGGAACAGCAGGGAGGTCAGTGTCACTCCATCAAAGAATACATGGAGGGTAGTTAAGTAAGATTAAGTAAGTAGGAAGGGTAAGAAGGGAGTTAGGGCCAAGTTATAAAGAGCTTTGAATATCAAATGTTGTTATTTTAGTCACATCTAACTCTATATGATCCCATTTGGGGTTTTCTTGGCAAAGATACTGAGTGGCTTATCGTTGCCTTGAATATCAAATAGAGGACTAGGTCAATATCAATTGAGATATTGGCATCAATAATGTCAATATCAAATAGAGATATATGATCTCGGAGGTTATAATATCAGGGAAGGAGAGGGCCCAGGATAGAGCCTTGGGGGATACTGAAATTAGTAGGCAATTCCTGGATGAAGATCCAGCAAAGGAGACTGAGGATTAGTCAGCGAGATAGGAGAACGAGGAGAGAGACACATCATGAAAACCTAGAGAAGGGAGTGTCAAGGAGAAGAGGGTGATGGACAGTGTCAGAGACGGCAGAGGCCAAGCAGGATGAGGACTAAGAAAAGGCCATTGGATCTGGCAATGAAGAGGTCATAGGTGATTTGGGGGAGAGCAGTTTCAGTTGAATTGATGAGGCTGGACACTGGAAGTGGCTTCAGTCGCCAGCCTCACAGCCTGGGGCTCTTTCTGCCATATTGTACGGCCTCCGAGTCACGGACACCTCCATGGCGTCTAAGGCTCGGCCTCCTCCTCCCTCACCCACGCTCCACAGCTGCTGTCGCTGTCACTGTCACTGCCCCCTGAGCTGAGGGTGTCGTGGGGTCTGCCCTGGCCCAGCTGCCATCGAAGCTGCTCTAGGAGTAGGAGGTAGAGAGTGCCCTGTGCCCGGTGGGCTGCATCTCTTAGCTCCAATGCCCGCTTCTGCTTCTTCACCAGCTGCAGCTTCAGTGTCAGGTCCATCAGGGCCTCCTGTGGGCAGAGACACGGGCAGAGCTGGGTTCCTCCTTTCTGCTTTTCTCCAGGGCTGGACACTGAGCCCTCCCTGGGGGGGATCTGAGACTTCAAGAGGGCCATTTGGGGCACAACGAGTGAACGATCAAACTATAGTGTTCAGGCTTCAGGGATGGTATCCTGAGCATTGGCCTGAGTTCCCACCCACCCTTGGGATGCCCGTGAGCAGAGATTCCAGTCCCATAACTGGCCTATGTTCTGAGGCTCTCCCAGCCCAGATATTCTGTGTTTAAAGAGCCCTCCCAGCTCTCACATTCTGGATTCTAAGCCACCCCAACCCCCATCCCTGCTCTAACACTCTGTATTTTGAAGTCCTTTTATTTCTGACATACTACATTCTAAGGCCCTTCCCGGTTCTGGTCTTCTGTGTTCCAAGTTCCCCCTGCCCCCCACCCCTTATGAAAGTCTCCCTTCTAAGATAGCTTCCAAGTATGCTATTCCAATATTCTGTATTCTGAAGGCATTCCTGCTCCTAAGAGAGTTGTAGGTTAAGGTGAGGAAGGAAAGGGCAGTGAGTAAGCCAGTGGAAGATTATTGGGTACATACCCTCATGGTGGCCAACTCTTGCTGAATCTGCGTCTTTTCCAGCCTCGGCCACTCCAGGTCAGGCTGAGCCTCCAGCATGGCCTGGAAGATGGCTTCTTCCCGAAGCACACTGGGCCCCTGGCCTGGTCTGGCGTCTGGCTCCGGGGGCACCTTCACCAGGGCTTGGCGTGCCCGGAGCCTCCCAATGTAACCCTGTAGGAGTGCTGCTACCTCCAGTTCTGTGGGTGCATCCACACTGCTGCCCTCAGGGCTGTAAGACACAGAGGCTGTGCCACCCTAGAGGGTATCATCCTGCCATACTAGCCTAAATGCCCCTGTAGCCTTTCCTCCCTGTTTTTCTCTTCTCCTTCTACCTCCTGGGGTTGGCAGGCACAATTCCCCCACCCCTCCAGGCGTCCCCGTACCTTGCATAGACACGAGCCAGGATGCCAGCCTCTGCAGGGTCTTCCTCAGACAAGAGTCGCTGTGCCACTTCCATGGCTGACTCTGTCCTGCCTTCTCTGGCCTGTGGGCCTGGCACGGCTCTCGTGTCGACTGTCCGTAAGGCCAGCAGCACCCCATAGGCCTCCACACACTGCTCACTGCTGGACACAGGCCTGCTCAGAACATTCCTGGGACTACCCTATTCAGCCTCTTGGGAATCTACGGACTTCTCCTCCCCTGCTCCCACACTTCTCATCCCTTCCTGTACTTTATCCCTCATTAACCACCCTCACTAGTATCTTAGGTACTGATGTTTACATGACTGAAGTCCTTGTTCTGTGGCTAGGCTAGCTCTTTAGCCCCTCAACCTAGGGTCATGTTTTTTCTCTCAGCCTTGGGCTGTGTCTCTTCCCCTCATTCTCAGGTCTAGGACTTTCTGAGCCTAGGACTCTTATCTCCTCATACCAAGGCTTCAGCGACGACAATGTTGTGTCTCTTCCAACAAGAGTTGGATCTAACAGGGGGCCAACAGGGCCTTGATACAGGCACTGACATTCCATAGGGGCCTGTTTCCTCCCTGTCTGGCTCCAGAGTGTGATCAGCCGCCTGGGCTTCTATCCCCTAGGGTCCCATGGTTATCAGGCTCTGCTCCTGAGGGCCTATTCCCCATCAGAGAGACAGGACCAAACATGCAGTCTGGTCTCAGGGACCCATGTCACATGGGATGGCCAGTATCTGCTGGGGAATGACAGTGAAAGCACTTTCCCTTTTACCCCTTCCTTGATTAGTCAGCTCAGCCTGTGCCCTCCGCAGTCCCCATCCTTCTCTGATCTAACAACTTTGTGATCCCAGATCTCTTCCTCATGTTCCTTTCATCTTCTGATCCTCATTGAAACCTAGCTTTCTCCTGAATTCACCATCGCTTAGGATGCTCTCCCAGGATGGCTGCTCCTTCTCTCACACTCCCCGACCCACAGGGCAAGGAAGAGAAGCTGATATACTACTCTTTGAACCCCACTGCCAAGTTCAGAGCCTCCCTCAGCCACCGTTACACCATGTAGAGAATTGAATACTGAGTCTGGAGTCAGAAAGATGTAGATTCAGATCCTACCCCAAACTCTTACTAGCTGTGCGACCCTGGGTAAGTCACATAATTGCTCTGTGCTTTAGTTTGCTGATCTGCAAGGTGCACAGGTCAGAATAGATGTCCTTTTAGAGCTCTTCCTTCGAGTTCTATGCTCCTGGAGGGTCCTTGTTGCTGCCATCTCTGGATGTCCAGGTCACTATTCTTCCTTCCCAATAATTTCGGTACCTGGCTCACAGTCCTTTCCATCCTAACCCTTGATAGCTTTAAACATCTTGGATTTTCAGTTCCCTAACTTCTCCAACTTCCATGCCTCTGGCTCCAGTCTACCTCAACAGTACCCAAGAAAGGGCATATCTGAGAGATCCCATCCAGAGGCCACCCCACAAAAAACTCCGACATTTACCCCGGATGCCAGGTGGGTAGGATTCCTCAGTAAGTCAATGTACCAAAGGCCCCCTTAGGGCAGCTGCTGGCATTTACCCTGTTGGCTCACCTGTATTGCAGGGCTAGGTGCAGGGCAGTAGTCTCAGCCTCCCTCTGTCCCAGCTGCATGCTCAGCCCCTCTGAGTAGCCCTTGCAGGATTGCAGGGCCCCCAGCATCATCTGGTTGAAGCATTTTAGCCTCTGGATAGTCCTGGGAGGGGAGAGGAAAAAGGAGAGAAAGGATAAACGGTAGGGGTGGGATGGATATGATAACCCAGCCCAGGATTCCTAGCCAGCTGCCCTGAGAATGAGACACACTGGGCAGAGACTGACCCCAACCTGTACCTCCCTAGCCCGGGGGGGTCACAGCTGTTACCTCCGGAGCTGTTCCATTTGGGTCTCCAGGTCCTGCAGTTCTGGTGTGAGAGGTGCTGGGATCACAGGGCTGGAAATACTTTGTAGTTGCTATAGCAAGGGGTGAGATGCCCTAAGAGAGGACCTGAATCTGTGTCCACAACACCACCATGGGGATTTTGGATACCCCAAGGGCCTTAATTCCAGCTTTGACTATAACTGATTTACCCAGGGGGCTTCAGATTAGGGACAACGGTTGACAGGAGACCTCTCCTAGTCTACAGTAAGGGAGACAGGAAGAGGACAGGACAGGCATTGTTAACCCGGTGTTCATGGGTCTCCAAGGGATCCATGGACTTTAATAGTAAATATATATTATATATATATATACACATATATGTATACATATATATATGTATATATACTATATATAAAATTTCCACTAATCTTTTAGATTCCTCGGTAATCCTATCTAGTTTATTTTACCCATTTAAACACATTATTCTCCCACAAGTGAATTCCTTCCAGGGCTTCCATTTTGGGAAGGGGCCCATGCTTGCCAACTTTCATTTCCCCCTCCAGGCTCCACTTCTGACTTTTCAGACTTCCACACCATGCCTTCCTCAATGGGTATCTTCTCCTCTTCCCCTTTCCCTTTTCATCTTCCTTTGGTATGCTGTGTTCCCTCCTTAGATTGTAAGCTCCTTGAAGGCAACAACTGTCTTTTCACCTGTATTTGTATCTCCAGCCCTTAGTGCAGTGCCTGGCACAGAGTAAGTATTTAATAAATGCCCATATCTTTGCATTCTTCTGAGAAAAGTTCCATCAGCTTCCTTGTCCTGCCAAATTGGTCCATGATATAAAAACATTAGGCACTCCTGGTATAGGAGGTAGCTAGGTGGCACAGTGGATAGAGCACTGACCCTGGAGTCAGGAGGACCTGAGTTTAAATTCGGCCTCAGACATTTACTAGCTGTGTGACCCTGGGTAAGTCGCTTACCCCTGACTGCCTCCAAAAAAACCAAAACAAAACAAAAGAACTCCTGATATAGGCAAAAGAACCATGGACCTAGAGTCAGGAGATATAGGTTTGAATCTCAGTTCTGCTGCTAACTGGTCATTAAGCTGTGATCAAGTTACTCCTTCTCTTTGAGCCTCAGTTTCTTCATCTGTAAAAGGGAGTTAATTTCACTACCTATGTCACGAGAAGCTTGTGAGGAAAGAACCTGGTAAACCTTTGAGTACCACATGAATGCCAGCTAGGATGCTGATGATTATGGTACCCACCTGGGCTCCCCAGAGCTCCCCATCTGGCCCTGGGCTGCTGGATCTGCTCATGGAGCTGTCCTGGCTAAGGGGGAGCGCTGGAGACAAGTCGAGCTTCAGTAGAGATTCATGCAGCTCCCAGACCTGAAGGAGGAAGGGGGGCAGGGCAGCGCTGAGTGTTGGAAGGCTCTGTCACCAGCCCATTCTTAATACAGGTTCAGTTTCCTGTCCCACCCTGGACTCTTCTCAGTCCTCTTTTCCCCAAGCACTGTCCGCCTCTCCTTTCATATGGCTCCCTTCCCCCCTAAAATGCTTCCCAGCTTAAGACCCCTCTCTCTGAGGGAAGTTGTCTCAACACTTGAGGACTACTCAGTCTTCGTTGGAGGGTAGGAGGCTGTACCTCCCTTCTCATAGAGGAGGTTCCCTGAGAATAGGGACTCAACCATGTCTTCTCTCTCAGAATGGAGACCCCTTGAGGGCAGGTCCTGGTATTCCTCCTAGACCACCCAAAAAACCCCACCTCAAAACCCACCTGTCTCTGTAGCTTCTCCTTTTCATCCTGAAAGGCCTGTAGGGAGGCCTGATCCTGGGCCAGCTCCTCCTCCTTGCTTTTCAGAGAACCCCGAAGACTGGCATTCTGCTCAGTCAGGCTCAGAGCCTCCTGTTTGTAGCGGATCCTCTCCTGTTCAGGTAGCCCCTCTTCTTGGCCTACAGGGCGCCAGCCCCTGACCAACTCCTCCAGTCTTTGCAGAGGCCATGCTTTGTCCTGAGAGCCCATACAGACATAGAGGATCTGACTCTAGATACAACCTGTGGCCTTTGACTCAGGCTTCCTGCACAGTCTAATTGATTGGGAGAAGCTTACCTTGCCCTGCTCCTCCGGTCCTAGTGTAGCTGAGACCGGAAGGCTGGAGGCCTGTTGGCGACAAGTGGCCGCCGCCTTCTCCAAGGACTCAATGGCCTGCTGCAGAGCCATGTACAGGTTGGGGCCGTGACCTGGAAGTTGGAACCAAGCAATCCTGAACTCTAGGGGTTAGCTGGGGGGGTGGGGAACACATGCTGTAATACTAGGAGATCTGAGAGAGAGAGGCTGAAACTTGGACGGGGGCAGGAACTTCTAGGGAGAGGGACGAAGTATAGAGTTGCCAAAAGTGAATTCCGTGAGTTATAGTGATTGAAGGTTATGGGGAGAGGGGATAGGAAATGATAGTTTAAGGCACAGAGGGAATTTTAACAACCCTTGGAGACAATGACAAGCCCTCCAGAGTGTGAAGGGAGCTCACCTTCCTGGGCATCTTCTCCTGAGGGCTGGTGGAACTGAGAAAGGGGTGAGGTGGGTATCATGGGCAGCTTTCCAGAAGTCAGATGGCTGCTGGGCTCTGAGGCTTCTGTCTGCCCATCCCTAAAGAAACCAAGGCCCACTGGGACCATCAGATCACAGGCTATCCCTACTGTACCTCCTACACTCTCTCTCTCTCTCTCAGTTACTCACTCTCTCTCTCTCTCTCCCTCATACATACACATTCATTCCTCCATTCACCAGGTTATTTTCACTAGGTGGTCCTGGGAGAGAAGGCAGCAAGACACCCTGTCTTGGGGCCTGGGGTGCTTTGTTCCAAGGATAAAAGAGCCTGTACAAAGGGAAGAAGGGAACCCTAGGGGAAATAAAGAGGAAAGGAGAGGGAGGAAGCCAGAAGGAAAATGTAAGAGGTGTATAAATACGTATGCATGCGTCTGCATGCATCTATGGGTACCTGCATGCACATATACGTATGAGACACGGGCATATGTGTAGAAAGGGAATGATTTTGTTGCCATGGAGAAGCAGGACAAAGTTCACAAGCCTAGCAGTTCTCCACCCAGCCCAGACTCTGTGACTTCCATGGAACTCCAGGGGCATGATGGGAGCTTCACCTATCTCATTCAAAATTTAGCTAATTGTAGACTTTGGGCTGACTTGGGGATGATAGCCTCAGGAATGTGTATATCCTTTTACTGTTCACAAAGCACATCATAATTCTCTGATCACAATTCTGAAAAGAATTAGATAGGAGTGGGGAACTAGACTAGGAGACCACAGAGGAGACAAAATGGTGGGGTTTTTTTTTTGTTTGTTTTTTGGTGAGGCAATCTGGGTAAGTGACTTGCCCAGGTCACACCGCTAGTAACTGTCATGTGTCTGAGTCTAGGTTTGAACTCAGGGCCTCCTGACTTCAAGGCTGGAGTTCTATCTACTGCACCACCTAGCTGCCCCACAAAATGTTTTTAAAAATTAGTTTTTAAAATGTCTAAGGTCTAGTCTCAGTGGGCAGGGGAGGGACAAGAGGGAGAGAATTTGGAACTCAATTTTAGAAAAAGAATGTTAAAAATTAAAATAAAAGGTAATTGGGAAATATTTAACAAGATAAATAAAAACATAATTGATTTAAAAAGTCTAAAAGCTAGACTAGCTAGCCTGATAACTAGGGGTACTGAATGGGTCTACAATACAAAAAAGTTTAACAATTAAGCCCCCCTGCGGAAAAAGAGCTGATAGGTATCTCTGCCTCTTAGAGGAAGAAGCCTCGCTGCAGGCGGAAGCCAGCAGATGGCAGCAGAGAGCAGGACGGTGCAGAGCTGTCCAGCCGACAGTGTCATAGCAGAAAAAGCCAAGCAAGCCGGGACCCCAGCTCAGCTCGCCTGATGACCGCCTAGAGGACATCAGTGACTCTGCAGAAGGGGCGGCACTAGTTGTCCCTCCCGTGCATGTGTCCCAGTGCTTAGCACACTGCCTGTCCCATAGTAGGCACAAGCTTAATAAATATCCCTCCCTGGCTGGATCTACCTCCTTTCCCCCTGGCAGTATGGTAGCCAGGGAGGACAATCTACCTCTGTGTGGATGGGGATCCTCATTTTGCCATGCATTTGATTAAATGTCTTTTACTTCGAACTAGTGAGTACTGACTTGGAGTAGCTGGTGACCCACAAAGTGCTTCAAACCTGGGGTAACTTTCCAGGGGCTTACAAGTAAGTAGTATGAATCCCTCTATATCACTGATATCATAGAGGCAGCAACGTAAAGTTAGGAAGACCTGGTTTTAAATCCTAATTCTGAAGACCCTAGTAAGTCAAGTAACCTCTCTGAGCCTCAATTTCCTCATCTGTAAAATGGGAGTCCTGATAGATCAATAAAATACATACATAAATGAAGATATATATATATTTAAAAATTACGTGAAATGCTTTGCAACTTTTAAAGTACTATACTAGAGGTGGGGAACTTCTGGTCTTCAGGCCACATGTGGTGTTCTAGATCCTTAAGTTCCGCTTTTTGACTGAATCCAAATTTTGCAGAACAACTTGTTCCCCACTCCTGCACTATACAAATGTCATTTATAGAGGCAGCAGCATTGCATAGTGGATTCAATTCAATTCAATTGAATAAAAATTTATTAAGTGCCTACTATGTGACAGGCCCCTTGCTAAGCCTTCCTTATATTGACTGTGTGACCCTGGGAAATTTATTTAACTTCTCAATGTTCTAGACCAGTTGTTTGTTATTGTTGTTATTTGTCCTTTGTTCTTGAAGAGGACCATGACATGAAGAAGATGATGCTGTGACATGCATGTGAATTGGATTTAAGTGAGGGAGACCTATGCAAATGAGATAACATTTATATAGCTCTTAGTACATAGTAGGTTCAGTAGCACACAGTAGGCACACAGTAAGCATTAAAAAATGCTTGTTTCCTTCCCTTTCTTCCTTCAGGGGGCAGCTCAAGCACTATCTTCTACATGAAATCTTTCCTGATTCATTCCCATCCCCGACTACCTTGTATACATTTTAATTTTTCTCTTTCTATTTATTCTGAATAAACCTACATTTTTATTTGCTGTTTCCCTGATCAGAATATAAATCTGAGATCAGGGATTACTTCATTCCTTGTGTTTGTACCCCTGGGACTTAGGGTCAGTGCCTGGAACGTAGTAGCACCTTAGTAGGACCTTAATAAATGCTTATTGGTTGTTGATTTATTATCACCTCCTTATCTTGGATAAGGCTAAGTAGGGCAGCCAGGTGGGACAGTGGGTAGAGCACTTGACTTGAAATCAGGAAGACTCCTCTTCCTGAGTTCAAATCTAACCTCAGATACTTATTAGCTGTGTGACCTTGGGCTAGTCACTTAACTCTATTTGCCTCAGTTTCCTCATCTGTAACGAGCTGGAAAAGAAATGGCAAACCACTCTATTATCTCTGCCAAGAAAACCCGTAATGGGGTCATGAGGACACGACTGAACAACAAATATCCCAGGTACTCCCTTCTCTTTTGGCTTTAGAGACAACACACTTGCCTGGTTCTCCTATTTTTATAAGTTCTCCTTCGTTCTCTCCTTTGCTGTGTCTCTTCTTTCTGACTCTTTAATGTCAATGCTCCCTAAGGTTCTGGCGTCAGCCCTCTCCTTTCCGAAGGCAGCACTGTGTACTGGCCTTGAAATTGGGGGGCGGGGAGCCTGGTTGTGAATCCGAGCTCTGCCATTTACTCTCTGGGTAACTGTCACTGAAGGTTTGTTTCCTCATCTGTAACCTCAGTTTCCTCATCTGTAAAATCAGTGACTATATGACTTCTAAGTCCCTTCCAGCTCCTTCTGTGCTCCGAATCCAGAATCCGAATCCGATCCTATGGTTCTTTCTCTCTCCTTGTTCCTTTGTAACCTCAACCACTCCCAGGTCACCAATTCTCCGCTATGCAGATGATTCCCAAACCTGTAACCAGAGGCATCTGGGTGGCACTATGGTGCACAGAACTCTGGACCTGAAGTCAGGAAGACCTGAGTTCAAATCCAGTCACAGACACTTAATAGTTGCATGACCCTAGGTAAGTCACTTGACCTCTGTTTGCCTCAGTATCCTCAACTATAAAGTAGAGAATAGTACCTATCTCCAAGGGTTTTTATGAGGATTCAATTGAGATAATATTTATTGTTGTGGGTTTTTTTAAAGTGCTTAGTATAGTGCTTGGCACATAGTAGGCACTATATAAATGCTTGTTATCTTCCCTTTCCCTCACCAGTATTTCAGCCTTAACTTATCATCTGAGTTCCACACTTCAATTACCAACTAGATATCCCAACAGCACCTCAAACTCAACACGTCCAAAACCAGCCTCATATCTTTCTCTATAAACCTGCCCCTCCTTCTGACTTAATCATTCCTGTCTGATCATTCAGTTGGTTCCCCATCTTCAGAAATGTCAAGCTACTTTTTACCCTTCCCTCTCTCACCTGGAATTCCAAATCAATGAATAATTACAATGAACAATTGCAACTAATAATCACAATTAAAATGAATAATAATATTAATCATTAATAATAATAATGATGATAACAATCGATTATCAATGACAGCTCTTGCATCCATGCCCTCTTCTCTGTTTTTATAGCCACCTCCATCTTATAGGCTCTCACTGACACTCAGCTATAACTATTACAGGTCTCCTGTCCTCTACTCTCTCCTCCCTCAAATCCATCCATCATACAACTCCAAGCATAGTCTTCCTTGTACATAGATCTGGTTGTGTCCTTCTACTTCTTAAAAATCTTCTGTGGCTCCCTATTACTTCCTAAGTAAATCAATTAACAAGCATTTATTAAGTGCATACTATGTCATAGAGGCTATACTGGGTCCTGAGTATACAAAGACAATAATAAAAGTCCTTGATCTCAAGGAGATCACAATCTATCAGAGGAGACACCGTTTGTATGTATGTAAAATAAGTATAGTGACTCTTCTTTTTTTTGGAGGGGGAAGCATTAAGAGCTAGGGGTTGGGAGACAGCTGGATGGTGCAATGGACAGATTCCTGGACTACGAAATAGGTAGACCTAAATTCAAATCCAATCTCAATCATTTACCAGCTGTATGACCCTGGACAAGTCATTCAACCTCTGTCTGCCTCAGTTTCTTTGTCTGTAAAATGGGGACAATAACAGCACCTACCTCTCAGAGTTGTTATAAGAACAAAATGAGATATTTATAAAGTGGTTTGCCAACCTTAATATACTATATAAATTCTAGTTATTATTATCAGGAAAGGCCTTGTGTAGAGATGTGTGAGCTGAGTGGTGAAGGCAACAAGGAATTCTAAGGGGAATTCAGGTAAAGTTCAAGCTGTTCTGTGGCAATCCAAGTCCTTCCGACCCCGGCACCGCCCTCTCTAACCAATCTTAGCTTCTTGCTCCCCCTTGACACATTCTGTGCTCTGCTCTAGTTAAACTGGACGATTCCCTGTACCGGGGACGCAACATGCTTTCACACCTCAGTGTTTTGCTTCACTCTTCCCTCATCTAGAATGCTTTCCCTCTCTCTCCTCACCAGATGACTCCTAGCTATTCTTTAAAATCGAATTCAAACGCTACCACCCAGAGGAATTTTTCTTCCTTTGTGCCCAGCTCCCCTCCCCCAGCACCCCATTTGGTAAGAGCTTTCCCCAAGAGGTGTTACATAGCATTTAAAACAATAACTCTCCAAGGCTCCTCTGTGTGTGTGTGTGTGTGCGCGCGCGTGTGCGCGTGTGACAGAAAGACAGAAAGACAGAAAGAAAGAAAGAACTAGAGAGAGATAGAGAGAGACAGATGGAGAGAGAGGAAGAGAGAGATAGAGACAGAAAAAGAAAGAAAGAGCTAGAGACAGAGAGCTAGAGAGAGACACAGAGACAGAAAGACAGAAAGAGAGACAGACAGAGAGAGAAAGAGACAGAGACAGAGAGAGAGAGAGGGTGTACGCGCGAGAGCAAGAGCACTGCCTGTGGTTTCATTAGTGTAGGAGATACCTCGATAAAGAACCTCCTTCAGTTAATAGAGCTCTCTGCCTCTCTGCCATTTAGTCTTAGTCACCTGGAACACTGAGAGGGTAGGTGACTTGGTTAGAGTCATACAGCTAATATGTGTGAGAGGCTGAGTCTCCTGGCTCTGAGGCAGAGCCTTTCTCTTCCACCCTAGTGCTTCCCCTGTATCTCTATCTGATAGATAGAGATATATTTAAATATATAGATGTATACATATGTATATATTATAAGATTCTATATTAATCCATATTGATCTATACCATAGTCTATTATTGCATATATTGTATATATTCTGAGATTCTATAAATGTATACATATATTCTAAGATGCTATATTAATCCCACATTGGTCTATAGTCTATATGTTTCTATATTGTATATATTCTAAGATTCTATAAATGTATTTTATACTGTATATTTTATATAATATAATATTTACATAATACTACATTTTATACTATATCTGTTATATGTATTCTAAGTTTCTATAATTAGATACACATATTCTAAAATTCTATGAATGTATTTGTATACATTTTATAATGATAATATTTGTAATATGATATTTTATATTACATCTATTATATTCTAAGTTTCTATGCACATATACATATATTCTAAGGGTTCATATTAATGCTATATTAGTCTATATTCTATTAATCCTAACATTTCTATATTGTATATAAGATTCTATATTTTAAGATTTCATATTCTATATTAGTCTGTATTCTATTATTCTACATATTTCTATGATTCTAAGAGTCTAAAAATATATTAGAACTATTTTATATGTATGTATGTTTATGTGGGTATACATGTATATTTATATAAGTATACTTATTCACACATATACTAAGACTCTACCAACTTGTATTTACTTATTGGTCCCCTAGAGGCCTGGTGGTAGAGCAGACAGAAGGTGAACTGACTGTGGAGTCACAGCCCTTTCTCTTGCACATCCTGGCTCTGTGACTCCATGAAAATCACTGAACTTCTCAATGCTCCGGGGAGCTCTTCAGGATGACAAATGGCCAAGAAGTTGCCCCGTGTGTGTTGGTAGAGGAAGTTCCTTGGCTGGTGTTGCCTGCACCTGTAAAATCCCAGGTCTCGTTGCCATGCCTTTCCCTGTTACAACTACCTATGGTTGAGTTGTTCCTTTCTGTATCATGGGATCCACGAAGGCAGAGACTTCTTATCAAAACCTAGTATCTCTTCCAGGGCTCAGAACAGAGTGTGTGTGTGTGTGTGAGTGTATATACTACTAGTTGTGTAGTCTTATATAAGGATCTTGTGTTTCAAGGGCTCACTCAGCACCAGGTAAAAGTTGGACCTGATGACCTTCGAAGGTCCTCCTTCAAAAGCCGAGATTCTGCAACTAAACAATCAGAGAAATGACCCATAATGTCTTTTAAAAGCAAAAATTTAACAATTACAAATCATTCAAAAAGAGTAAAATTCTTTTCTGAGTTGAGAGCTAGGAGGGGCTTTAGAATATAGAATATCAGAGCTGGGAGGGCCCTTAGAACATGGAATGTCAGAGCTGAGAGGGCCCTTAGAACACAGAATGTCAGGGCTGAGGAGGCCCTTAGAAGAAAGAATGTCAGAGCTGGGAGGGCCCTCAGAACATGGAATGGCAAAGCTGGAAAGGAACGTTGGAACAGGATACACAAAGTCAGAGCTGGGCGAAACTTTAGAAAGCCTATAACCCAGCTGCCTTCCTGTAAAGTTGTAGCTCAGCGCAGTAAGATATGACAGGAGGTGTGAGTAGCCCTTGCATACCTTTCTGCCCTCACTACCCCAGCCCAGTCCTACCTGGGTATGTCTGGCTGTAGACAGTGGCTTTGGCTGCTGGGCTCTGTAGTGGTGACGAGGTGCTCTGCCAGTGACTCTTCCCGAGGCAGTCTGGGGGCCTGCTCTGGCCCAACACTGTTTCCCACGGTGTCTGCCTCTTCAGTGCTCTCCACCACGGGGTCCAGCTCCCCCTGCAAGCACCCTTAGCCTTGGGAACAGGGTTCCCTAGTGGACTCTGACATTTTACGTCAGTGTTGTGGGTCGTGGAGGGGACACTTTAGAACGCTGGGGATACCTCCATTGGGCAGAACCTAAGGTTCAGAATTTTCTGGGAAGATGAGGGTTTCAGATGGGCAAACAGGCCCCAAGGCTAGAGCTTGAGAGGTGGGGAGAGGACCCCAGAGTTAGGCTAGCCCAGGGGCCTCTCCATTCTTCCCAACCCCACCCTGCCTGACCGAGGGGGAGATGGCCTCACTGGGCCTCTCTTCCTGTTTTCAGGAAGAACAAAGAGGAGGCACTGGCCTGTCCCGGGATCACGGTCACTCACTGGGGGTGGTGCCCTCCCCCGCCGACTGCGAGGTCTAGCAGCTCTGCTGCTCATCTTCGGTTTGGGCCTGGCCTGTGGGGGACAGAGAGGAGGTAGGCCCAGCTGACATCCCCTCCAGCCCATTTCTGTCCAAAGGCTTTGGCCCTATGACCTTTGCTTTGTTGGACTTTAGTTCTTGGTGTCCCATCCCCACCCTAACAAGCTTATCTTCCTGATTCCCCTGTCTCTTTCACTAGTACTGCCATGCTCTCAGTCTCCCCAGTCTGAACTCTCAAAGGCCCCTCCCCATCATCTTTTTTCCTTACGCAGCTACACCCATCAGGTCAAGTCTTTGAATTGAATCTTCCAACCAGACAACTGTGACAGAATCACACCAGAGCTCCCCTTCTCTTCCTTACCTGGTATGACTACTTACTTTACCATACCTGTCAGCTCAGGACGAGTTTAGGCCATATGATATCAGTCACTGGCCCAACAAGAAACATAGAAGAAATCCCTGGAAGAGACAGGCAGAGCTCTTCTTAGAGGGAAGTTTATGCATGATACTTTGATGGATAATACTCTAACCCAAGGGTTCTTAACATTTTTTGTGTTCTGGACCCGTTTGGAAGTCAGTCTGGTGAAGCCTATGGAACCCTTCTCAGAATAATGTTTTTCAAGGCATAAAATAAAAATACAGAGGATTACAAAGGGAACCAATTATATTAAGATGGAGTTGTCTATATATGTGTACATATACACACATGTACATACATATATACACATATATACACACACATATATATATGTGTATATAAATGCATGGACTCCCAGGAATATATCTGCAGACCCTCTAGGAGGTCCATGGGCCCAAGGTTAAGAATCCCTGCCCTCCAGAACCAGGAGAACACTGTATATAGTAAAAGCAGCATTGTTCGATGACCAACTTTGATAGACTTAGCTCTTCTCAGCAATATAATGATCTAAGACAATTCCAAAGGACTCATGATGGAAAATGCTATCCACATCCAGAGAAAGAACTATGGAGTCTGAATGCAGATCGAAGCATACTGTTTTCTCTCTCTTTTTTTTTTCCTTTCTCGTGGTTTTTTCCTTTTGTTCTGATTCTTCTTTCACAACATGACTAATGTGGAAATGTTCAATGTGATTATACATGTATGACCTATATTAGATTGCACGCCATCTTGGGGAGGGGGGAAATTTAGAGTTCAAAATCTTATAAAAAGGACAACTAGGTGGCACAGTGGATAGAGCTCCAGCCTTGGAGTCAGGAGGACCTGAGTTCAAATCTGGCCTCAGACACTTGACACTAGCTGTGTGACCCTGGGCAAGTCACTTAACCCCAATTGCCTCACACACACACAAAAAAATCTTATAAAAGTGAATGTTGTGTTCAACATTTATATTAAGATTTTTTTGTGTGTGTGTGAGGCAATTGGGGTTAAGTGACTTTTTAAAAATTAAAAATTAAGTGACTTCTTAAAAATTAAAAAGAATCCTTGCTTTAACAACCTCTCTTTCTACCCAGATTGGGGCTCTTTTGCTCACTCTAACATCTGACAGCTCGCTGCTCCATGCAACTCCATGCCTCACCCACCTGGATTTCTGACTTCCGATAAGGGTGCATTGCATCCTTCATCACTGCCTGCTTTCCCGGTTCCAGAATTCAGCAGATGCCCTTCTCTTCCCAAAGTCCTCATATGCAAATCAGTCTCCTAAACTAGTCCCCTTGCCTGCTCCCAGGCCCTCCCCCTCCAATCTCTTAACCCTTAGCATAGTGCTTGGTACACAGTAAATGCTTAATAAAGACTTTTCATTTCTTTTCCTCCTTCTAATACCAGCCATCCTCTACCAGAAAGCATTCCCTAGTCAAACCATTTGCTAGTTTTGTCCTCCTCCTCCAATGATCTTTCATTAAACTTTTCTGTGCACGTACTGAATCCCACAAAAAAGCAAACTCTTTGATGCGGAATGGTCCCTTTTTGTCTTTGTATCCCCAATACCTAGCTCATCATACCTCATAGATGCCTTTTAAATGCTTATTGAATTTAATTGCTGAATCTTCCTAAAACTCAGCTTTGGTCATGCCCTTCCTCTCACTTTCTGTGGCTCCCTATCATTCACAAGTTCTCTCCCTGTCTCCTCCTCTACCAAAAACTTAGCAGCATTCCTTCCTCCCATCTTTCAACATACGTTTACTGGGGGCTATGGAAGAGACAGGGCTAAGAACTCACTGTCTAGCTGGGAAAATATCTGTGCTCTTCCATACCCAGAATTACAATGCAAGGCTACAAGAGAGGTAGATCGGGGCTCAGAGGAGAGAGAAATCACTTCTGACAGGGATGAGGTGGAACAGGGAAGACTTCTTGGAGAAGATCACATTGGAACTGAGAGAGAAAGGAAGGACAGGATAGCGGCAAGCCGAGATGGAAGAGGAGACATATTCTTCTATGTGACTCTTTGAACATCCCATGGGAGTTTCATCTCCCCAGCCTGACTACAAGTTCCCCAAGGATAGAGCCTGGTTCTTTCCTTTCCCCTGTCTTTCCCCACACCTCAGAGGCTGCCTGGCAGTGGGCTGGGCATATACTGAGCGTCAATAAATGCTAGGTGTTTGATAGCTAAGACTATCCTTTGGGGAAACCTTTATCTTGATAAAGATAGGAATGGCTAAAGTTGACTTGCCCACTAGCTCTCTCTGTGACCTGAGACAAGTAACTTTCCCTGTTTGGGCCTCAGTTTTCTTATCTGTAAAATAGTGTGTATGACACGCCCTCTTTTTAAGGTCCCTTCTAGTGTAGCAGCCTAGAGGTTAACAGTTTGTGGAGATATCATCAATATCACCTGGTCCAGTGGTTCTTGATCTGCAGACTCCTGTCAGTCTCAAAGTTATTGCAAAAGCTCCATCTCAGGGAATGACTGACTCAGTGTAACAAAAGAGCAAACAATTTCTCTTCTGCAGGCTAAACAAATACTTTTGCCCATACATGTACATATCACTTATTAAAATATACATTATGATGAGTAAAGCATACATTATGACTAATAAAATACAAATTCATCTTGAATATGTGTATTTTCTCAACCAATGGACACAAATAATGCTACCAGTTTTCACGTAGGGGGTCTTCATACTTGAAAAGGATGGGAACCACTGACCTAGACCAAGTTCTTCTTTTAACTGATGAAGAAACTGAGGATCAGATTAGGGAAGTTATTTGCCCAAGGTCACACAGGTAGTAAGTATCAAAGTTTTGAAAATCTTCTATTGGTGGAAGTTCTGGGACGGAGCCCAGAGTAGGAAGGGGAAGAACGCTTTTAGAAGCAGAGAAGAGATTCCAAAACCAGATTCAGCCAGCATGAGCCTCAGTATCCATCTGGCTGGATTTTTCCTCCTGGGAAGGGTGAGCTGGGGCTTCAGAGCTCCCATTCTACTCAGCCTCATGACTTTGGGAGTTACCAGAGTTGTAGTAGATGTAAATACTGGGTTCTAGCTCACAGATTATCTTCCAGCCTGCATTTACCAGACTCACACCAAGGGTCTAACACAGTCCCCCATCACCCTTGTTCCCTTCTCTTTACAAGGCCACAAGGGAGTCCAGATGCCCAAAGCCAAGAGTAAAGATAGGACGGACGTCACAACCCCTGCTGCTGGGCACTAAGGCAGGGCTCCCCAGACCCTCCCAGGTGTAATGGGTACCTCTGGCTCACAGTGGGGTCATCAGGTGAAGGAAAGCTTCAAGGGGTCAGGACTCTCCCAGGGCTCCCTGTTACTGGCAGAGTGAAAGCCCAGGCCACCAGACAGACTAGTAGGACCATCACTGTCAACAGCTGGTCAAGCCAATGTCGGAAAGACCTGGGGCTGGACTCAAGGAAGTAGGATACCACCTCCCCCATGTCACGTGGGTCCCTATTGTGTAGCTTCCTCCCCAAGGGCATCTGTTCCCTACACACCCTAGGACCAAAGGAAAGGAAGGAAATGAGGGAGGAGAATGGGGGGGGGAAGAGACCTAGGAGGATGAGAAACAGGGAGAGAACTAAGGATATAAGAATCAAAGAGAAAGGTGAGACAGAACTAGGAGAGTGAGGATGAAGAAGTGAAAACCAGAAAATAACTGGAAGAATAAGAATGGGAGAAAAATTTGGGAAGTAAGAATGGGGAGAGAATTGGGAGAATGGAAATGGGGAGACCAGGAAGGATAGAACAAAAATAGTAAGTGGATAATTGAAATGCAAGATAACTTAGGGACTAAAGAGCAATGAGTTCAAGATGCCAGATGTGGATGGACTGTATCCTGTCTGTACTGATGACCTTCTTGGGTATTAAAAGAACAGGGTTGGCAGATATGATTGCTGAGCCATTGTCAGTGATCATTAAAAGTTCTAGAACAGGAGGGGTCCCATAGAATTGGAGAAAGGCAAATGTTCTGATTTCCAATGGGCCACTGAACTTGACTCAGTTCCTGGAAAAATTCTAGAACATATTGTAGCACCTTCTCCAAGGCTATTTCTGCAACTACCACTTACGTTGGTGGGTTTGGTCTCCAGAGGACAGGGGTTACTACCAATTTTAGGGATTTAGAGAGAATCCTGAGAGGCTCATTACTAGTACTTTGTTCACAAGCCCCCATCGGTGTGCTTTCAATTGTGAACTAGTCAGACTTAATTTGCTTTTCAGCAAAGGCATTTGACAAGGTGGTTTAGTAAGAGGAATGAGGACAAAACATGTCCTCAAAAGTTTGTTTCTTCTTTCTTGTGGTTCCTCTTATTGGTTCTAATTCTTCCTTACAACATGACTAATGTGAAAATATTTTTAATAGGAATGTATATGTAGAGCCTATATCGCCATCTTGGGGAAGGGAGGTGGGGAGGGAGGGGGAGAAAATTTAAACTCAAAAGCTTATGGAAATGATTGTTGAAAACTAAAAAATAAATTAATTAATAAAAAGAAAAAAAGTTTGGGGTGCAGTCTTTCACAAAAACAGACACATCCATGGGAAGAACAGACTCAAATTTAAAATAAAATGGTGGTGAGAACACATATGGCCAAGGAGTAAAATCACAACCTTGGTTACTATTAATTCCTTTTTTTTTTTTTTTAGCCTATAGCCGTTCTTATCGTGAAAGGGATCATGGCCCTTGAAGTTACTTCCCTAAGGTGACCATCTGTGTCTTTCTATATCCATGTTTTTCCTTAGTGTCTCTCTCTCTTTCTCTCTGCTCTTAACTGGATGCCTTGTCTCTTTCCAGTGGCATGATCGACAGAAGAAAAGAGAGGGACAGAGGTATATGTATGTCAGGGGGAGGAGTCAAAGATGGAAAGGGGGAAGGTGGAAAGAGGGGGAAAGGGAAGGGAGAAGGAGAAAGAGATAACTGCTGATATTTCTCCTGTTATTTAACGCTCCCAAGAGCTTGGTGAGCTTATTTGTTTAGCCAATTAATCTGTTTGATTCTTGAGCCAATTAAAAAGGACTTGGAACCTGATAAAGGGAATCACAGGGAGTTTGCAACATTTTAAAAACATCATCATATCTGTTGCTTGATTGATTGATGTCAGGGTGTTCAACCCCCTCCATTACACATACAATCAAAGGGGAAGCTTTTGAGTATTCAGAAAGGGAGTAATGAATGAGAAAAGTCAGCATGGCTTCAGGTCATGCAGACTAATATGATTTCCTTTTTTGACAGTCCATATATCAGGTGAATATTGTAAATATTCTTTACTTAGATTTCAGCAAAATGCTCAATAAAGTCTCTTGCACTATCTTCCCAGACAAGATGGAGAGATGTGGATAGGACTGCAGTAGGAACAAATGGATTCAGAATTGGTTAAATGATTATAACCAAGGGGTAATCATCCCCTTTAGGGCAGCTAGGTGGCGCAGTGGATAGAGCACCAGGCCTGGAGTCAGGAAGCTCTGAGTGCAAATATGGCACTTCCTTATAGTTGTGTGACCCTGGGCAAGTCACTTAACCCTATTTGCCTCAGTTTCCTCATCTATAAAATGATCTGGAGAAGGAAATGGCAAACCACTCTAGTATCTCTGCTAAAATAAACCCCTAAATAAGGTCATGAAGAGTTGAACATAACCGAACAACAGTCATCCCCTTTTCTAAATTTTCCCATTTCTGTCAAACACATCGCCATCCTTTCACTTTCCCAGAGTCATTACCATGGCATTATCCTCCGGGCCTTGCTCTCCTCATCCCCACATCCAATCAATTGCCAAATTGTGCTGTTTCTGATTCACAACATCTCTCCCATTCAACCCCTTCTCACTGTTCCCAGAGCCACTACCTGAGGTCAAGCTCTCAACACCTCTGGCCTGGATTACTTCAACAGTCTCCTCATTGATCTTTTTGCCTCAAGTCTCTTTCCACTTCAGTCCATCCTACACACTGCTGCCAAAGTAATTTTCCTTAAGCTCAGGTCTATCCACAAGCCTTCCTAACTCAGTAAATGCTAGAAGCTTCCTGTTGCTTCTAGAATTAAATATAAACTTTTTTTGGTTTGTTTTTTTTGTTTGGGTAATGGGGGTTAAGTGACTTCCCAGGGTCACACAGCTAGTACATGTCATGTGTCATGAGGCCAGATTTGAACTCAGGTCCTCCTGAATCCAGGGTGGGTGCTCTATCCACTATGCCATCTAGCTGCTCCCAAATATAAACTCTTCCATTTCACTTTTAAAGTCCTACACAACCTGACCTTAAACCATCTTTCCACACTCCTCCTTCTGCGCTCTGTGATCCAGCCAGACTGGCCTCTGCTCCTCATATATAACACTTCATTTCCTCTCTCCGTACTTTTGCCCTTGCCATCTCCCAGACCTGGAATGCCTTCTCCTCTTACCTCGGCCTCATAGAGTCCCTGCCTTCCTTTAAGACACAGCTCAAGCACCATCTTCTGCATGATCTTTGCTGATCCATCCCCAACTGCTAGTGCCCTCCCTCTAAAACTTCCTTACATTTAATTACTTTGTATACATTTGTATTTATTCACTTTACATGTGTAACAGTGTCTACTCCGGATCCCACTGCTTGGAAGCTAGGTGTGTTAAATTTCACCTCTCTCCCACGAAGCTTCGGTACCCTTAAAGGACTATAAGGGTTGGGGGTTAGTCTTTACTATTGGCTCCAGGCCCAATTGATGATATTCCGCCAATTTTAAGGATCTCCTGTACTCCAGTTCCATTTAACCACTTAACAGTCAGATTAGTTTTTACAAAGGTATAACTTAAAAGGTATAACAAGAACAAACATACAAAACATTCCTTCGAGAAAACCTGAAGGTATAATCCCCCTCTCCCCCAGCACCACCTCGGTCTATGGGGAGGAGAAGAGGATCAGGTTCACAGCCTAACTCAGTTCCTATGTAGCACAGTCCCATCAAGTTCCAAGGCCAAAGCCTTTCTGGGGCTTGAGTCCCAGGCACCTGGTTTCTCAGGCCTTTCTTGCTGGTCAGGCAGCAACACGGAGCATGGAATCTTGCCTTCAAGGTCCCTGTGGCTCCAGTCCAGGTCTGGTGTAGATTCTACTGCTTGTACCTAGAAATGAAAAAGGTCAAACAGAACAGACCTAAACCCCAAGGCACACAGCTAACGAGAGGGAGGGGAAGGTAGCCCTTCTCCTCACCTCCTCACCCAGTTCATGTGAACAGAACCTTCACTCCCTGCTGGGGGGGCAGGGAGGGGGGCCGGAGGGAGGGAGAAAGAGAGAGAGAGAGAGAGAGAGAGAGAGAGAGAGAGAGAGAGAGAGACTAGGGGAGTGTAGAATGTCTTCTTCCAGAATATGGTCCAGAATATGGTCTACGTGGTGTTTCCATGATAGGTGATCTTGGCATGAACAAAGTAAAGCCCCGTTTCATATCTATGCTGTATACATTTTCTATGTGTATGTTGTCTCTTTTATTAGAATGTAATATCCTTGAGAGTACAGACTGTTTTATTCTTTGTTTTATATCCAGGGGTATGCTGGTAAGTGTTTAACAACAGGCTTTCCAAAAACCTATGACACACTCTTAAGTTTATCTGCATTATTAATATTTTCTCCATTACTTTCCTAAATCCAGACAATCAGCAAAACAATAAAATAAAGCCTTGATTTGGAGCATTTGCTGATTTTTTAAAAAAAAAGTCTAAATGCTCATACTGAAAATTTAATGAGTTGGTTGCTGAAAGTTGAGGTGGCTATAGCAATTTCTTTAAATAAGATAACAATGAAGTTTGCCTCATTCATTGATTCTTCCTTTCACTTGAACACTTAGAGGCCATTGTAGGGATTATTAATTGGCCTAATTTCAATATTTCAGTTTCTCAGGGAGGCCGGAGGAGAGGGAGAGAGATGGGGAATGGCCAGTTGGTGTAGCAGTCAGAGCACATACAACATTCATCAATGAAGTTAGCCATGTTATATGGGTGAGGTTTATAGTGCTCCAAAACAATTACAATAGTAATATCAAAGATCATTGATGCAGAATTGCCACAAACATTCCATTTATAAAACAAAATAACAAGCAACAACCCCACCCCCCCATGTCTTCAAAGAACAATAAAACAAAGTAGGCCTGTATTTTAAGTACTTGGCACAGGGCCTACACATAGTAGGGCCTAAATAGTATCTATTATATCATAATATATTATATGTATATATTTGTTATATTTATATCTATTATATATAAAATTTATTTATATATTTATATTATATATTTATGTATAAATATTACCTGTTATTATTATTATTATTGTTGTTGTTGTTGTTGTTGTTGTGGTTATTGTTATATTAGAAGAGGTCCAAATCAAAGCAGCAAAGTACAGGCTTTGAGACCCTGACACGTGAGGATTGGTTGAACTGGGGTATTTAATCTCAAAAAGAGACAGTTGGGTTGCAGAGGGAAGAGGGAGGGGAAATGAAGAGCAATTTGTTTTATTCTATTGGGTCCAACAGGGCAGAACCAGAAAAAGGGTAGAAGCTGCAGAGGCAGATGTAACACACCTAGAACACACTGAGATGAGAAGAGCTTCCTTTCAGTTAGAGAGGATTTCAGGGCGAAACAGACTGCCTCCCAAGACAGAGGCTGGTGTCTTCAAACAAACACCAGATGATTGCTTGACAGGAGGTTGTAGAGGAGAATCTTGGTCAGGCTGGACTAGCTGGCATCCCAGGTCCCTCCCAGCTCTAAGAATGGCAGTCCCTGACATTGTACCTTTGAGTCACTAAGGCAGGGGTCAGTCAGCATATATTAAATGCCCACTATGTACCAGGCAGTGTGCTAAACCGTGATGAGATAAAGAAGGGTAAAAGGTAATTCCTGCTTTCAAAGAACTCACATTTTATGGAGGAGACAATAGGCAAACAACTATACCCCAATAACCTACAGACAGGACAAACTGGAGATAATCAATTGAGAGTAGTCACTAGCATTTTTTAATTAATTAATTTTGAGTTTTCAAGTAGTCACTAGTATTAAGGGGCATGGGAAAATGCCTCTTGAAACAGGGATGTGAGAAGAGAATTTTTTTTTTTTTGAGACATTCGGGGTTAAGTGACTTGCCCAGCATCACATAGCTAATAAGTGCCTGAGTTCACATTTGAACTGAGGTTCTCCTGACTTCAGGGCCAGCGCTCTATTTGACGTACCACCTAACTGCCCCTCTCAGAGACATCTTAAACTCAACATGCCCCAAACGGAACCCATTATCTCTCCCCCTCAACTCTTCCTGCCTCCAAACTTCCCTATTACTGTTGAGTGTCACAACAATATTTCCAGTCCCTTAGGTTTGCAACCTAATTGAGGGGTCATTCTCAACTCCTCATTCTCTTTCACCTCCCCACCCCCACTCCCAAATCCAATCTGTTTTCAAGACTGTCAATTTCAATTTCACCTTTGTAACATCTTTGTAACATCGAATATTTCTTCTATCCTCTGATAACTGCCACCACCCTGATGCAGGCCCTTATCACTTCAAGCCTGGACTACTGCAATAGCAGCCTGCCTCCAGTCGTTCCCCACTCTAATCCACCCTCCATTCAGCCACCAAAGTGATTTCCCTAAAGTGCAGTTTTTTTTTTTGTTTGGTTTTTTTTTTTAGGCAATTGGGGTTAAGTGACTTGCCTAGGGTCACACAGCTAGTAAGTGTCAAGTGTTTGGTCTGAGGCTGCATTTGAACTCAGGTTTTGCTGACTTCATTGCTGGTGGTCTCTCCACTGCGCCACCTAGCTGCCCTGCCTAAAGTGCAGTTCTGATCATGTCAGCCTCCTACTTAATAAAGTCCAGAGGCTTTCTCTTCCCGTTACCTTCAGGATCAAATGCAAAATGCTCTGTTCAGCTTTCAAAGCCTTTATTAACTAGTCCCACTCACTTTTCAGTTTTCTTGCACCTTACCCTTTGCCATGTACTAGTGACAATGGTCTCTTGGCTCTGGGCATTTTCTCCCACTGTCCCTCACATCTGAAATGCTCTCCCTTCTCATCTCTCTACCTTCTGGCTTTCCTAGCTTCCTGTAAGCCCCATCTAAATTCACATATTCTACAGGAAGCTTTTCCCAACCGCTCTTAAACCTAGTGCCTTCCCTTTCTTAACAATTTCCTAATTATTCTGTATGTTTGTACATAGTTTTTGCTTGTTGTCTTCCCAATACCTTGTACATGTTTTTGGAGGTTTTGAGCTCCTTGAGGGCAAAAACTGTTCTTTGTCTCTTTTTGTATCCACAGAACTTGGCAAAGCACCAGGAACAATAGTAGGTGCTTAATAATTAATGATGAGGGCTTGCTGAGTTAACTGAAGGAACTAGGAACTTGGGGTGTTTTTTGGGTCCCTCCACTACCTTGGCTTTCGTCGATTTTCCACTAACCTGTGCTGGTATGAAGGAAAATACAGTCTAGGGTTTTACCGTGGATATGCACATAAAAAACAAAGATGAATTTTTCTTAAAGAAAGCCTTATTCAGTAAACATTTTTGTTTCACTGACACCTTTTGGAGTATTTCAGTGGGATAACATACTTATTTATGAAACTTTCCCTCAGCCCCCTTGACAAGCTTCTCTCTAACCTCTAGCAGACCCTCATGCTCTAAAAAGGAGTGGAGAAACGCAGAGACAGAGAGAGAGGAAATTAAACCCAGGCTCCGCCCTTAGCCCTCAGGCCCCGCCCCCAGACTATCCTGTCAGTCTGGGCCTTTCGTGTCCCAGGCCACGCCCCCTACAGTCCCGCCTCCTGTTCCCTCCTCGCCTCAGCTCCGTCTTCCGGAAACTCTGAGGATTCCCAGCAGGCCCTTCGGCGGCCCTACTTCCGGGGGCGGGGGAGAAGATGGCGGCTTCCGGGGGGAGCTGCCGCTGCTGAGACGACTGCCGGGTAAGCGGCTCCGGGAGTTTGAGAGCCGAGGCGGAGACAGCTCAGGACAGGGTGCGGCGGAGCTTGGGAGAGAGGTGAGAGTGGGAGAAATGGCGGGCTCTGCCCGCTGGTGGGGGGGCGGGGTCGGGGGCCACACCTCTCGGGGCCTCAGCATCCTCCCCGGGAAGGGATGGATCTGGACCCGGTAATCAGCGAGGCCCCTCCCAGCGCCTTCGGTCGGTGTCCTGCTGGCCTGTGTGGTCCTTCCTGGTGCTTGGCGTATCATCTACCGCCTCCGTGCCTTTGCATAGGCGGGACTAACCCCCATGCCTGGAGTGCATTCCCTTCTAGTTTCTGTCTTAGAATCCCTGGTTCTTTTCCAGACTTAACTCGGAACTGTCTTTCCTGATTCACTGAGCTGCTAGAGCCTCTTCCGGAAATTACCTTGTGTTTATTTCCTGTGTATTTTGTGTTTATTTACACTGGCATGTATTTTCTCCTGATAGAATGTCAGCTGCTTGAGGGAAGGGTCTGTTTCACTTTTTTATGTTTGTTTAACCAGTGACTAGCGCCGGTCCTGGCAGACCTCAAGTGTTACTTCATGTTGGAGAACCTTAGGAGCAAAGATGCTAAGAGCCCTTCCAACTCTGAGATTGTATATTCTATGTTCTTTATTCTGAAGTCTCTTTTAACTGCAACATTGTGTTCTTTGTTCTAAAATCTCTCCCAGCTCTGACATTCGACATTCTGGGTCCTACGGGCTCTCCAGCTCTGACATTTAGTGTTCTAAGGGCCCTCCCAGCTCTGACATCCTGTGTTCCAAGGGCCCTCCCAGCTCTGACATTCTGTGTTCTAAGGACCCTCCCAGCTCTGACATTCTGTGTTCAAAGGGCCCTCCCAGCTTGACAGTCTGTGTTCAAAGGGCCCTTCCAGCTCTGACATCCTGTGTTCTAAGGGCCCTCCTAGTTTTGACATTTCTGTTTTCTAGGGGCCCTTCCAATTCCAACATTCTGTGTCCTTTGTTCTAAAATCCCTCCCAGTTCTGACAACCTGTGTTCTTAGGCCCCCTCCTCCTCCCAGGGCTGACATTCTGTGTTCTAAGGCATCTCCTAATTCTGATATTAAACCTATACTTTCCTTCCCTTTCAAAGCACCCACAGATTGAATGCCACATGTTCTTGCCTCTCTTAGACCAGATAGTTATTTTTTGTTCAGCACAAACTGGAGCTGTTGAAAAAAAGATATAGTCCCATGGTATGTAGCAGTAAAAAATTGTTGCATCATTATGGCCCCTCATGACATGGTTTATGAGTACTTTACATTACCTCTTTCTCATTCCTCATGATACAAGGTTAGGATTAGTATATCCATTTTTTCACCTAATAGTATTTTATTTTTTCCAATAATATGTAAAGATAGTTTTCAACATTCATTTTTATAAGATTTGGAGTTCCAAATTTTTCTCCCTCCCTTCCTCCCTCCTGTTCCCCCCTCCCCAAGACAGCAAGCAATCTGATATGGGAAAACCATGAGAAAGGAAAAACAATAAAAAAACAGCAAAAGTGAAAATAGTATGCTTCAAAATGCATTCAGACTTCACAGTTCTTTCTCTGGATATGGATAGCATCTTCCTTCATGAGTCTTTTGGAATTGTCATTGATCATCATATTGCTGAGAAGAGCTAAGTCTGTCAGAGTTGATCATCATACAATATTACTGTTACTGTGTACGGTGTTCTGGTTCTGCTCACTTCACTCAGCATCAGTTCATGTAAGTCTTTCCAGGTTTTTCTGAAATCTGCCTCTTCCTCATTTCTAACAGCACAATAGTATTCGATTTCATTTATATACCACAAGTTGTTTAGCCATTCCTAATTGATGGGCATCCCCTCAATTTCCAGTTGTTTTCCACCACAAAAAGAGCTGCATAAATGTGTTTGTACATGTGGGTCTTTTTCCTTTTTTTATGATCTTTTTGGGATACAGACCTAGTAGTGGTATTCCTGGATCAAAGAGTATGCACAGTTTGGTTGTCCTTTGGGCATAGTTCCAAATTGCTCTCCAGAATGGTTAGATCAGTTCACAACTCCATCAACAATGCATTAGTGTTCCAATTTTCTCACAGCTTCTCCAGCATTTACCATTTTCCTTTTCTGTCATATTAGCCAATCTGATTGGTGTGAGGTGGTACCCCAGAGTTGTTTTAATTTGTATTTCTCTAACCAATAGGGATTTAGAGCATTTTTTCATGTGAGTATAGATAGCTTTAATTTTTTCATGTGAAAACTGCCTGTTTATATCCTTTGACCATTTATAAGTTGGTGAATAACTTGTATTCTTATAAATTTGACTCATTTCTCTAGATATTTGAGAAATGAGGCCTTTATCAGAAACACTGGCTGTAAAAATTGTCTCCCAGCTTTCTGCTTTCCTTCTAATTTTGGTTGCATTGATTTTGTTTGTGCAAACCCTTTTTAATTTAATATAATCAAATTATCCCTGGTACTGTTTCAGAGGAGTCGGCCTGTCTTCTGAGCTGAGTTTCCAATTTGAGCTTGGGGTCCCCAGCCATGGAGCCAGTAGAATCAGGAAGTACTGCAGATGAGGAGGAGGAGCGGGCGATGGAGCAGAGGCCTCGGACCCGATCCAACCCAGAGGGAGCTGAAGACCGAGCCCTGAGTGCCCAAGCTAGTGTGGGGAGTCGGAGTGAAGGCGAGGGTGAGGCAGCCAGTGCTGATGACAGCCCACAGAACCCACCCAGCACCAACGGCAAACCCTGGCAGGTGCCACCACAGACTCCAGAATTTCAGGTCCGGACTCCCAGAGTCAATTGCCCAGAGAAGGTGGTATGTATCTGCGTCTGGCTTGAAGAACTTGGGAGACTTTTGTCGTAGCCCTAATTGTGGTAGCACAAGCCTCAGTGCAGAGCTCTCAGTTGCACAGACAAGATCCATGGGAGGACCCAGAATGAGAGGGCACAGGGAACCATGCATCTGTATGACCCAGAAGGCTTCCGGGGTCCTATGCCCAAAGAGACTTCTTGCTTTCCTATTTCTAGGATCCTGTACTGAGTACAGGAGTCAGGGGATAGTTAAACACCAGAACTCACTTTGCAGCCTGGTGCTGTCCTCTGGGAAGCTGCTTTTAGAGTAACCTTATTTTCACCTAAGTGCTGAAGCCAGTTGGCCAAGAACTGATATTTAGTTCCTTTTGTACCTTTTTCCCCAGCCAGAGTTGGGAGGAGCCTGGGTTCTCATCTTGGCTTTGTAAGAACACCCCCTCCCTGGAGCTCCAGTTTCCTTACCTATAAAATGAAAGTGGTTGGACTAAAGGATTTTTAAAAATTAAATTTTGTTTTTTTCAATCAGTGAAAGTCCATCTTCTTTTTCCACCTCCTCTCTCCCCTCATTCTCCATGCCCCCCTATCCCCTTAAGAATGGAATGAAAAGAAAACCCCTGTTCAAACTATGTATAGTGAAACACAGTAAATTCTCACAATGGCCATTTAAAAAAATATGTCAGTCTGCACTCTGAGTCCATTGCCTCTCTGTCAGGAGGTAGGTGGCATATTTTATCTGTGTGTCCTCTGGAATTGTGGTTGATCATTGAGTCAGTCAGAGTTCCTAAGTCTCTCAAAGTTGTTTGTCTTTGCAGTGTTGTTATTAGTACATTAATAATTCTGTGGTTCTCTCTTCACTATGCATAAGTTCATACAAGTCTTCCCAGATTTTTCTGAGCTCAGTGATCATAAAAATCTCTTCCAACTTTGATGGCCTAGAATTCTAGTACATTGTCTCTGGTTTGGAACAGAGCTGGGCTGCTTAGGACTTCCTGGTAGAACCGGAAATTCCTGCCATTCTAGAGGGAATGGGTGCCCACCGGGCCCACTCCACAATTAGACTGGGTTATATTGTTATTATTAGCTCACTTAGTACTCGGCACCTCCATTGATCCTTACCACAATCTTGTAAGGTAGGATTTTTTGGTCCCATTTTACACATGTGAAACTGGGGCTCAGAGAGACTAAATGTGTTTTGTCCAGGGTCACACATTTAGTAAATAATAGAGTTTTTAAAATCTCACAAAGAGTCTTATATAGGTTTTTGCTAAATCCTTGTTGATTGATTTAAGCCATAACCAAGAATGTGGTGTCTCAAGTGAATCCCTCTTTCTAAAGGAGTCCTATCCTTGGGGTGACTTTCTTTTATTAGAAAAGAAGTCCTGGAGCAGCTAGGCGGCACAGTGGATAGAGCACTGGCCCTGGGTTCAGGAGGACCTGAGTTCAAATCTGGCCTCAGACACATAACACTTACTAGCTGTGTGACCCTGGGCAAGTAACTTAACCCCGTTGCCTAGACAAAAAAAAAAAAAAAAGAAAAGAAAAGAAGAAGAAGTCCTGATGGTGGGGCCAGCACAGTTGTCCTGGGGTAACATTATTACTTTGCAGCTTGCCTGAGGTTCAAGGGGGCTGAATGATTTACTGGGGATGGGCTGGACAGGGAGGTGGGTTTAAGTGCGTGTTAACTGTTCTTCATTTTCTCCACCCGCAATTGTCTTTAACACAGATCATATGCCTGGACCTATCAGAGGAAATGTCTTTGCCAAAACTGGAGTCATTTAATGGGTGAGAGGTTTTTTCTCCTCTAATTTATAAGCCTATTTGGACTTTCTGATCCTGCATTTCTTCCACCTTTGGATCCTTAGGTGAGGACAGATGGGAAGGTTAGAGTAACAAAGTGGAATTGGTCCTATGATACCTTCACAGAGAGCAGAGTGGACCCATGTATTGGGGGAAGAATCACTTTGGCAGCACATGAAGCATTAGTTGGAGAGGAAAAAGAGATTAGAAGACCAGTTAGGAAGCAGTTAGACTAGTCTAGTGAAGAGGTAAACGAGGTTGATAGCAATAGGAATGAGGAGAATGGAATCAATGTGATTTGGCAGCTGATTGGACTGGAAGCATAGAGGGCAAAGCCATTTGTAGCCGTCTTAGCTCTTTTGGCAGCATATCAGTTGTGATCTTATTTGGAGGGAAAGGGGGACCGTCCAGTCAGATTTCTGTGGGGCAGGAATGCAGAGCATGAAAAGGGAAGAAATGATCGGGATACCCTCTGTTGCATGGGTGGGTGGAGGATGTCTTAGCCTGATTCTCCTCTGGCCCTGGGATCCCATAGAACATAACACTGACTGACGGTGACAGTGAGGAGTCCCCTGTGACTTAGCCCAGACAAGTGACCTCTTAATGGAGCCTCCATTCCCAACATATGTCATAAGTCTTGAGGGTACCTGTCCTTGGATAAACCGTAGTGGCTCTCCATCCCTGAAAAGTGCCTTGGCACTGCCTAGAACCTCCTGAGTGTCCTCTCTCATCCCTGACCAGCTCAAAGACCAACGCCCTGAACGTGTCCCAGAAGATGATCGAGATGTTTGTTCGGACGAAACACAAGATTGACAAGTGCCATGAGTTTGCCCTAGTGGTGGTGAATGACGACACCACTTGGGTGAGTGAGTGTGGGAGGAGTCCCTGCTCCTCCTCTCCTTCCCCTTCTGCTTCTTTCCCCTTACTCCTTTTCCATTTCCTGGGAAGATATTAGGGAAGATATTTCCTGGGAAGATACTAGAAGTCCCCCTGATCTCCAGCTTCCAGCCAGGGCCTTTCCCTTGCCTTAAGTGAATCACAGGTGGTCAAATCTAGGTGGGCCTGACCTTAGAACGTAGAACACAGGATATCAGAGATGGAAGTGCTTTCTAATCCTAGAACTGGAAAGGACTTTAGAACACGGAACGTAGAGCTAGCTGGAACCTTAGAACATAGGGAATCAGAGTTGGGAGAGATTTAAAATATAGTATGTCTGGACTGGGAGTGAGACCTTAGTGATTGGCTAACTCGTCCACCCCAGTTCATCTTGCAAATGAAGAATGAAGTTCAGGGAGGGCATGTACTAGTAGGTGGCAGGGAGTTGAACCAGGGTCTCCTGACTGCAAAGTCTAGTGGTCCTTCTGTTATACAACTTTGTCCTTTTGTGACAACATGGAAGTTTGACCCAAGCTCATGAGAAACCACAGACCACAGAGGCCAGGTGTTTGATGAGAACTGCCAGTTCAGTTGAAGCTCCCTCGTTACTGAGCCCTGTAACCCCTTCCCCTTTTGCTCGACCTCAGATCCTCAGAAAAAGTTGGTTAGTCTAAGGGGGACCTTGGCGATGGAGATTGTTCTAGGGCCATTTGAGCTGACACATAGAAGAAATAGCACCTGCCTTCAAAGAGCTATCTGCCTATCAAATGGTTATTGTGGGAGGTGGGACCTACAGACCAAGAAAGGCAAGCAGGTGAGCGGCCCTGGTTTTGTTTTTAGCTCTCGGGCTTGAC